CTTTTTAGTATAACCCTAAATAAGCTCAAATCCCGATTTCAAGTTTTTTTTTTTACGCTTTGGTCATACATTCAATTCAATTTCGCCAAATTTTGGTATTTCAAGTTCTTATTCTATAGAAACGCAGTTAACAAAAAGTTATTAATAAAAGTCCTTGTTTTGGTACGGTCCTTGTATAAAGATATCCCCTGATTTACGCTATGTTAAGGGACTTGGCCGGGGAAAAATCCATGAAAAAGGGAAATATTTCCGACTTTTTCCTTAATATATATCTTAAATAGAGTTTTCCTTTCTGTGGTAACTTATCTTTAAATTTGATGAAGAATGCTAGGAATTCTAATATAAATTTCTATCGGATTTGTCATCAAAACATTGCAGCCCCGTTTGACTCAATTCAATTTGTATATGAGTTGAGGCTCGTCAACAACTTCAAACAGCCAAGCCAACCCACCAACCAACACACAAGTTCGCAATCAACAACAACAGCAGCCACACAACTTTCTGGCCTAAATAGTAGTGGCGAACAGGTTTTAAAAACAATTTCTTTTCTTTCTATTCAAAAAAATTAAAAAAAAATTAGATGAATATCCCAATAAAAATATCTCAATTTGTTTGGAATTGAAATTTTATTTCGTTCACCTTTCATCAACGATCGACACCTTCAAACAACAGAAAAATGTTGCCTTTATTTTCCACTCCCCCCTTGGCATTGTTTACAAATAAATGCCAATGGAGATGATTACAATGAGTTGTTGTTTGTGTTTCGTTTTTTGCACTTGCACTGTAATAATTGTAATTTTCAACCATTGTTTATTGGTTATTGTTGTTTAGTTGAGTTTTGTTCTTTGTTTGTTGGTTAGCTGGTGTGTGAAGTTTTAAATGTTTGTAGTTTTTAGGTTTACTCAACCGTAACGCATACCAGAAGTATGTTTGGATAAATGTTTGTGGGACCATGGTACAATGAAAGTTGTATGGGAAGGTCTTCAAATAAGAAGGATTTTCGAAGTTTATTGGTAGGGGTTAAGGTGATACTACATTGAAATGTATAGCCAATAGGTGTTCAACGCCCTGAGAAAAGAAGTCAAGCAAATTTGATTAGCCATAGAAACCACGGCTTTCGAAATAACTTAACCGTGGGTATATTTTTTATAAGGGCTATTCCAAAACATGGACTGATATTGATAATATTTTTCATTGGGAGTTTCATTGGGTCCTCAAAAATGTGGTTTTAAAGTTTATTGGCAGCATTTAAGATGGACGCCTTAAGAAACTAATTTGATGCCAAATCGATGGAAATACATGGTCAAGGCCTTCGAAATAAATAAAAAGTGGGTATATCTTTACACAAAGGCTTTACCAAAACCTGGACTTATATTGATAATATTTTGCATGAAGGGTTCCTAGATTCACCCAAAATGTATTGAAACGTATGGTCAAAAACGTAAATAATATTTGAAATTAGGATGTAGCCTTATATGATGAGGGGCTATATCAAAAAGTTGATTGATATGGCCCATATTTTGTGCCAACGATTCAAGATGTAATCCTAAGATCTCTATCAAATATCAAAATATCGCAAAAGATATGCGAAGCATAGCTCAACATTTTGGAGACCCTTTGTTTATGGCTGTGGCAATATAGAGGCCCTTGTAAGTTTGGCCTTAGAGCCCAAAACACGTTTGGGATTTTTGATCTACAAACCGAGTATTATCAAATCCTTGAAATCAGGATATAGCGTTATATGATGAGGGGCTATAACAAAAAATCGGCCGATATAGCTCATATTTTGTGCCATATTTTGTGCCAACGATTCTAGATGAAGATCCTTAATTCTCTATCAAATATCAAAGCTATATCTTTAAATTTGCAAAATATAGCTCAACATTTTGGAGACTTTTTACGGCTATGGCAATATAAAGGCCCTTGAAAATTTGGTCTTAGAACCCAAAACACGTTTGGGATTTTGATCTACAAACCAGATCCTTGAAATCAAGATATAGCTTTATAACATGAGGGGCTATAACAAAAAGTCGGCCGATATAGCTCATATTTTGTACCAACGATTCTAGAAGTAGATCCTAATATCTCTAACAAATATCAAAGCTATATCCTTAAATTTGCGAAATATAGCTCAACATTTTGGAGACCCTTTGTTTATGGCTGTGGCAATATAGAGACCCTTGAAAATTTGGCCTTAGCACCCAAAACACGTTTGGAATTTTGATCTACAAACCGAGTATTATCAAATCCTTGATATCAGGATATAGCGTTATAGGATGAGGGGCTATAACAAAAAGTCGGCCGATAAAGCTCATATTTTGTGCCAAAGATTCTAGATGTAATTCTAAGATCTCTATCAAATATCAAAGCTATTTCTTTTGCGAAACATAGCTCAACATTTTGGGGACCCCTTGTTTATGGCTGTGGCAATATAGATACCCTTGAAAATTTGGTCTTAGATCCCAAAACTATTTGGGATTTTGATTTACAAAGCGATCACAGATAACAGGTCCACTTCGTATCTCCCACACCCAGATTAATTTTTGCACAGTGAAATTTTAAGAAAATTTACGTGGAATTTGAAAAAAGTGTTAAATTTGTCGATTAGGAAATAGGATGTTTTATTAAACAAAATTAATGATATTTTTTATGGTACATATTAACATTACCATTTTCTTTTGTTCAGAGATTCATAATGAAATTTAAAGTAGAATATTTCCTCCTTTGACACTCTTCCCAAAAAATACAGTGTAAAGGGAGATTTTGGTTTAGAATAAAAACGTGTCAAAATTTACAGTAACAAGTTTTGCCGACAGATTTATAACCCCAGCCCTGAGTTATGATTATTCTAATTGTTGACCCATTATGGGGAAGGTTCCGTAGCAATTGGCCAATATTTTCCAAATCGTATCTATCTAATACAGATCAAAAATATGTCCTGTTTTCAAAGAAAATCTAACATTTATATCCAATCATAATCATAAATTCCGATTAATTACATTTTCATCACAGATTTCTGGTGTTTTTTGTTTTTCAAAATTTTGAACCCTCCGTGGGGGAAGTACCAGAAAGAGTGATCTTCACACAAGACCTTGGATTAATAAAGTTAATCGCATGTGTGGAATTTGAAGAGATCCAGATGCTTATTTCGGTTTTTATGATCATTTTGGTTATTCGAAACTTTGACCCTCTATGGGAGAGGTACTAGAAGGAATGGTCCTATATCTTACCATCTTTATAACAGATCTTGTGTTGATAAAAATTTTGAGATTTGCCAAGTCTGAAAGAAATCGGATGTTAATTTCACGTTTTATGAGCTTCATGAATATTCAAAATTTTGACCCTTTGAGGGGGTGGTACGTGATGGAGTAGATCAATATATGCTCTCTTCACAGCAGACCTTGAATTAGTAAAAATAGTGGCATGTGCGAAATTAGAAGAGAACCGGATGCTTATTTTGGATTTTATGATCGCTTTGGTTATTCCATATTTTGACCCTTTGTGGGGAAAGTACCAAAATAAATGGTCCGATCTGTAGCATCTTTATAACAGATCTTGTGTTAATGGAAATATTGAGATGTACCAAGTCTGAATGGAATCGGATGTTAATTTCGTGTTTTATGAGCTTCATGAATATTCAAAATTTTGACCCTTTGTGGGGGAGGTACCAGAAAAAGTGGACCGATACATCCCACCTTCATACCAGACCTTGGATTAATAAAAATAATGTGATGTGTGCAATTTGAAGACAATCGGACACTTCCAACAATTTTTTTTAGAGTTATAATTATTTAAAATGTTGACCATTTATGGGGGAGGTACTTGATGGAGTGAACCGATATTTTCCATTTTCGCACCTGACCTAGAACGAATGCAAATATTACGATTTGCTAGTTGAAGCAAAAGCGGATTATCCTTTCTCTCTCTGTGCAGGTGTGGACCGATATTGCTCAACAGATTTTAGGTGAGAACTTATTATTACAAGTTGTCCCATTATTCCAGTGAAATTTTTCGAAGATGTCGATTTAATTTGTCTATATCCCGCAATTTCTCCCTGGTGTAAGGGTATCCAAAATAATCATTTTCGGCTTCAAAATTCCAAAAATGTATGACTTTTTTGGAAGTGACAAACTGTCCAACCTCCCCTCCCCCACAAAATTGGAAACAATAGCAATATATCTTTCGTTTCTTTCACTTGTTTTCAATTCGGGGGGCATTATTGATGAATGTTGTTTACGATCTTGTGGCGGCACCGTTTGTTGTTGTTGTTGTTGCTGTTGTGCCTGTTTCTATTGATAATGATGCGGTTTGAGACAAATGATGATTGTGTTTTTCTTTTCTTCTTTCGAATGTCTTTCGAAATGGAACTTCCTATTGATTTCACTTTCCTTTCAAACCAAACTTGCAGCCATGAAACTGAAGTCAAACTGAAGTTTCAAAATCAAACTCTGTTTTCCCTCTCACTCTATTTAAAGTTAATTAATTATTTTGCAGGCGGAAAATTTGAAGTAGGAACAACAAATGATGGTTGGCCACCTTCATCAGTCAGCAGGGATACCTTGACCTCGAATTTAATTTTGTTTTGGCGTTTATTTTTTTTTACTCTTCAAAGCAGCTGCTTGAACTTTCATTTCTTTGTCGAAACAAAAATAAATGATTTTTCTTTTCAAACCTTGGAAGTCAATTAGCTGGACATGCACTGAACAAAAATTGCTGGATAAACGCAGCTTAAAAAGCCTTGACTTGTGCGTCGCTATGATTTATGGATAATTTGTAGTTTCGATTTTTAAGAAAACAAAAAACCGAGATTTATTTGCACAAATTTAAATTAATTTTTTTTATTATTCGCAAAACACCAAAACTATTTCTTTTATTTTTTTCAAATATTCAATTTGCCGTTAAATTTTGTTTTTTTTATAAAAAAATTCCGTTATTTTGATTTTTCTTTGTGTGTCGATTTCTATTCAATTTTCGTTTGCCATTCAAAATTGAATTCGCACCGTGTAAATGCCGCTGTGGACCGCCTAACTTTGACCAACGTTCACTCTCAACTGATTTGTGTTTTTGGTTTCAATTCAACTGTAAAGACTTTTTGTGTAAAAAACCAACAATAACAACAACAAAAGCAGTAGAAAAAACACAACGGCGACAACAACATAAGCCACTCAGCCAGTCAGCCAGTCTGAACTGAACAACATTGTCCCCCCCAACCGTATCCCCACCTCCAACTAACACAAGACTTGGATGGCTGGATTAAAATATTAGTGTGATGGGGAGACTGATTCGGAGTGCGCCGAGGGAATTCGAAGCTGGCTTTCTTTGCCGATACTTGTTGCTCGACGTTGTGCATAGTGCGTTCGCAGAGCCAAGCTTTGTATTGGACTGGTTGATTTTTTGTTTTCCTGTTTCTCTTATTGTTGTTGTTGTTGCTTTTGTTGTTGTTGTCGTGTGTGCTTTTGCCCATCCACTGCATATTGTCGCTGAGACCGGCTTTTTGTATTGTTTTTGAATCGATTGGGGAGTAGATATCACAATGACCTAAGTCTCTCTTGGAGAGGCTTGTGAGATATAATTTTGCGCGCAACTTGTGTTGTTAAATTTTGGCAACACCAAGAGTTAGGCTTCGTTTACACTAAACTAATTCGCAAAACCAAGGAAAGGTAGTTGAACTTTTATGATTTAATTGGTTAGCTTAAAATTCTAAGATGATTTAGTCATGTCCGTTCGTGTGTTGTAATCACGCTAGAGTCAAAACGAATTAAGATAGAAAGCCAAAATTTGGCACAGATCCGTCTTTTGATCTGCAGACAGATCAAGTTCGATATTCGGTTTTTTGATACTTTTAGCCCCATTTTTTAATGGAATTGTCTGAAATTCAACACAAGGAGTTCCTTCTGAGTACTTTACCCCCTCGAAGAGAATGGTCTGTATAGGTCCACGATATCGTATTTCCAAATATAATGGAACCTCTCGATGTTTGGTATTTTGATTATTTTGGCCAAATGTTTGACCGGAATTGTTTCAAATCTCGTATTTAAAGTTCGTAATGGGTACTAAAATCTATGACAAATTTTGACTAATTGCGCATGCAGGTCCATATCGTATATCCCCCATATAACTATACCCCCCGATATTCGTTATTTTGATGATTTTAGCGACATTATTCACAGGAATTGTTTCAAATTTCGCATTTAAAGTTCGTAATCGGAACAAAAAATTGCGCATGTAGGTCGACGATATCGTATATCCGCCATATAACGATACTTCCCCATATTGGTTATTTTGATGATTTAAGCGACATTATTTACCGGAAATGTTTCAAATTTGATATTTGAATTCCGTAATGGATACAGCCTATAACAGAAAATTGTACGTGCAGGTTCACGACTTCGTATAGCCCCTTCATATGGATAACACCCTATATTCGGTATTTTGATGATTTTAGCAGAATTTTTTAACGGATTTGAAAGTTGTCAAATTGGTCCCAAAGAGTGGGGGATATTCAAAGTTCGTCCCGGCCGAATTTATTGTTTTTTTATTTTTATTTTTTTAAGCAGCATAATTTCCGAGTCGCCTGAAAAACTATCGAAAAACTTCAGTCTCTAAAATATTTCCATTTATTGAAGACTAATAGTGTATTACATCTGTAGAAGAGAAAATAATAAATTATAATAGCTGGTTCAACGCCACCATACGAAATTCCTAGAAACCAACAATGACCTCAACATCACATTTTAGAATTTTAGCTGTATTCCTTCATCTAATACAAAATGTACATCAATTTAGTACTTTTCGTATAACCTCGAAATCTCAAACCCAGATACCATCAGTAATCAAAATATCGAATTTTAGAATTGTATCTCTACCAAATTTAGTACTATTTGGTACTTTTTGTACAATTATAGTACACTTTTCCGAATCCAACTCCACATCTTAACCCCAGACACTAACATTGACATCCTTATCAAATTTCGGGATTTCAGCGCTATTCCTTCACCCAATTTAGTACTTTTCGTACATTACACATTTCCGAAAACACCTACATATATCTACGCTACACTTGAATACCGACCTTAATTTAAAATTTCAAACTCCAATACAAAACTTAGCACATACAGTACTATTTAGTACCTTTCGTGTACTTGTAATACACATTTCTAAAACCAACTCCAAATCTCAAACCCAAATACCATCAGTATCCTAAATATCAAATTTCAGAATTTTATCCCACAGCCATATCAAATTTCAAGATTTCAGCTCTGTTCCTTCGACGAATACCAAATTTAGTACTTTTCGTACAATTATAGTACACATTTTCAAAATCATCTCTGCATCTCAATTCAAAATACCAACAGAGACCTCTATATGATTTTTTGCGATTCCAGCTCTATCTCTTCACCTTATACCAAATTTAGTACCATTTAGTACTTTTTTAGCACAGCCAAATCTCCAATCCAGATACCATCAGTAATCTGAATATCATCTCTATTCCTTCGCCCAATACGAGTCATAGTACCATTCAGTACTTTTCATACAATTATAGTACACATTTTCGAAATCACCTCCTAATGTCCAAGCAAACTTCAGGCACTTTCTGTTCACTCAATACCAAATTGTACTAAATATGGTGCACATTTCCGAAAACACCTTCAAATCTATACCATCAGCGATCTAAATATCAACTTTCAAAATTTTCGCAAGCCTACCACCAACAGGGACCCCAATATAAAATTTTAGTAAATTTAAAAATTTGTTACGAATTTCCAAAAAAAAAAAAAAAAAACTGGAAATACCATTTTCCAAATCCATAGAACAGGTTGAATATTTTACTGCAATTAACCGTTTTGTAGAAATTTCAGTTTATCAGAAATAACAGCAGGTAATATAACACCAATATCAGTGCCATCCCGCTGTGATAGCAAACCGACTAGAAAAACTGTTCCGCTGACAAAATTAAGTGCTTTGACACAGAAATTTGGTATCATAACAATACGTTCATGCTGGGAAACGCCCCTTATACATACTAATGCAGAAAATCGAATAACAGCATTTACATATCAAACCTTGTTCGAAATAAAAAAGTAGAAGAGGTGAATGATATTTTTAAATTCCACCAAATGTAAATTATTATAAATAAATATTTTCTTCTAAGAAATGCTTTTGTCATAATTTTTCTTAAGAAAAAAAGAACTATTCCAACTTACCTCGATTTTCCCGTTGGATCCAAATACGAACTGTGATAGATGCCAGTCAAACCGCCCAAATCGCATTCATATGAAATCGAAACTACATAGGGCATTCCCGTGTACAACAACTCCTCCAATTCGATGAACAACATTTCACGTTCCTCTGACAAATAGAATTTCTTGATGCGAATACGCATGCGCGCCATCATATTCAGAATGCTGATGCCTTCAATTTTCAAAGCACGGGCATTTAGGACAATCAAATTGGTTACAACATCTATTTCGATTTGAATCGAAACGGTTCCAGTGCAAGTTTTCGCCACCAAATCGGGATGAATGTAGAGTTTGTATTTGATGGGGCGAATTTCGCGGGGTAGACGATAGACAACCTGGAATTTTAAGAAAGAGAGTGAGGGATTAGATTTTTATATCTATCTACATATGCATATAAAAGATTAGTGAAATAACTGCCCGACTGAGAACGATGACGATGTGAATGGGTCACATACAACCTAAAAATACCCCTTGCCAAAAGTAGGCGGACATCGATCCAGATTAAGGTATATATCTCATATATGTTCTATCCTATCTAGAACTAAAAAAAGTCTGTCGGCGTTTTGACTTTTTACGTAACTTAAATATAGGGGGGAAATTCACAATTGCGGATTGACAGGGGAAAAATTCCCCCCTGTTTCACAATTGCGGATTAAGATTCTGGAATTTTTTTAGGTATATAGTGTCTTGGTGGCAAAAATACAAGGATTTTTTAGTAACATTTAGTACGCATATACAAAAAAATCCACACCTTTCCATACCAGACATTTCCATACCAGAAAATTAGTACCTTTAAGTGATTTTCGTATAATTTTAATACTCAATTGCAAAACTCAATTCTAGACACCAATATTTATCGCAATATTAAATTTCACGGTTTCAGAACACACGCCATACCAAATTAAGTAATATTTAGTACTTTTCGAACAACTATAGTACGTAATTCCATACCCACTTCCAGATCACAACTTACATACTAACAGTTTGTAAATATTAAATTTCAGAATTTTATCCCTATCCCTATTGGTTGTACCAAGTCCAAATTTAGTACCATTTACTATTTTTTGAAAAATTTCACTCAAAACTATATACCAACGGCGGTCCCCATACCAAATTTCAGAATTCCAACTCTATCCTAATACAAAATTCCAAATGTACTTCCTTCTCTCCACCCTAGATACAAACACATTTTTTGGCATTTGACACTTTTTGTGCGTACTCGACTAAAGACACCAACATAGACATGTATATCAAATGTCAGGATTTCAGCTTTTTAATTTCTCCCATTACCAAATTTAATATTATTTAGTACTTTTCGTACAAATATTGTACACATTTCCAAGACCACCTCCTTACCTCAATTCCAGATACCAACAAAGTCCTCATTGTCAAATTTGAGGATTTGAGCTCTATCCTTCACCCAATATCCAATTTAGTGTCATTTATTACTATTCGGCATTTCCATGGGACAGATTTCCAAACCACCGCCAAATCTCAAACACAGATACCTTTAGTAATCTAAATATTAAATTTCCAAATTTTATCTCTATCCCTTCACCCAGTACCAAATATAGTAGCATTCAGTACTTTTCGAAAAATAGTTGTAAACTATTCCGAAACCACCTCCATGTGTCCAGGGTCCACTCGAACAACGACCGTAGTACCAAGTTTCAGATTTCAAGCACTATCTGTTCACCCAATATAAAATTGTACCAAATATAGTACGATTTAGTACTTTAGTACGTATACTTGTAGTACACCTTTCCAAAATCACCTCCAAATCTCAAGCCCAGACCCAAAATATAGTACCATTCAATACTTTTCATACAACAATTTCCGAAATCACACATGAA